ATGACATCAACTTCTTTGTCATACGAGTCAACCACCGCTCGTAGGTGCCCTATGAGACACTCCTCGACTTAGATCCTCCTCATCCAAATGGTATGGTTTTAGCATACTAACATGAAATACGGGATGGATCTTCGACTTCGATGGCAACTCTAGTGCAATAGGACACCTCTCTTACCTAGCCGCACTACCTCAAATGGTCCATATCGTCGTATGAGGCCTTTGTGTACCTTTTGAAATGCCTTATGTTGTTGTGGTAGCAACTTTAGCATCACCTTGTCACCGGGTTGGAAGGTGACATCTCTTTGTCTCTTGTCGACCCACTTCTTCATCTTCTTGGCACCTTGTTCAAATACATTCGCATTAAGTTGGCTCGCTCCTCGCCATTCCCGAGCTAACAAATATGCATTTAGGCTACTTCCTTGGTACTTGTCACCAAGCACCATCGTATGTGGAAGAGAGGCTACTAGCCCGTCATAATCTCAAATGGACTCTTGCTAGTAGACTCACTCTTTTGTAAGTTATAGGAGAATTTGACAACATCTAGCAACTCGGCCTCAATCTCGCTGGTTGGCACTCACAAAGTGCCTCAAGTATGTCTTCAACAAGGCATTGACCCTCTCGGTCCGCCTATCCGTCCGAGAGTGAAAACTTATGGAGTAATGGAGCTTCGAGCCTAGCAACTCAAATAACTCCGTCCATAGCTTCCTAGTGAATCGAGGATCTCGATCACCGATTATATGTCGCGGCACACCTCAATACTTCTCCACATGTTTGAAGAGTAGCTTAGCGGTGCTCTTGGTTGTCACATCCGCTGGGACCGGTATGAAAGTGGCATACTTGAAGAACTTGTCCACGACTACGATAATGCTCTCAAAGTTCTCCGATTTCGATAAAGCCACTATGTCGTCCATGGTGATTGTCTCCCATGGTCTCTCCGCGATAGGAAAATGTTACAATAGACCCCTGTGTGCTCGATTTTCAACTTTGTCTTGCTAGCACACCAAACATGTTCTCACATAGGACTTCACATCATCATGCAAATGTGGCCAAAAGTATGCTCCCTCTAACAAGGCTCTAGTGTGTTGTTGTCCCGGATGTCCGACCCACATCGAGTTATGACATTCCTTCATCAAATCTCGTCGGAGGTTTCCCCACTTAGGTACATAAACCCTCCTCCCTTTTGTATAGAGAATGTCATTCTCCTCCAAAAATTTTTGATTTTTGCCCTCATTTGCAAGGCTTAACAAACTCTCGGCGATGAGATCATGCTCCACTCCTTCCTTGGTTCCGGCCACGATCTCCCAATCCACCTTTGTTATGTGATGCAGCTCGGCCTTTCCACTAAGTGCATCGGCCACCACATTAGTCTTTAGTCGCTTCCTCAATTCCTCCAACTCGGGACGGCTCATCCGATAAGATGCCATGGTTGGCGACTTAGCACCCAACACCAATTCAATTTGGTGATCGATTTCTCTTTTGGTGGCAACTTCTTAGGTAACTCGGGTGGCATCACATCATTAAATTCGGCCAATACATTGGCAATCTCTTTTGGTATCTCCATACTCTCATCGTCCACCATCCCATCTTCTCTTAAAGTTGCCAAGTATGTGACTTCTCCTCTCTTGAAGCCTTTCTTTACCTACATAGCCCGGAGATACTTCAAGTCCGATCTAGCATGCACCTTAGCCGGCACTATGCATGGCATTTCTTCTTTCATGATCACCATTTACTCCAAGCGAGGTGTAGGCACGGCTTTCGTTTGTTTAAAGAACTCCATGCCTAAGCACAACCTTCAAGTCGTCCATTGCGATAATGGTGAAATCTAGCGTCCCTTTCCATACGCCTATGCCAAGCCTTACCCTATGCGCTATGCCATAAGTAGGCTTAGGGGAAGCATTCACGGTCTTCATGCTACTTGATGACTTGGTCACCACCAAGCCAAGTCTTTTGGCCTCATTCTCAATCATGAAATTATGTATGGCTCCCGTGTCTAGCATGATAAGTGCGGCCTTGCCATTCACATCCATATCCACGTACATAAGCTCATCCTTTGGTTGCACCTTAGGTAAGGGCTTAACATTACGGGCATTGAGAAGCCGAACCGATCCCAAATGCTTTTCATGCTCGAGAGCACACTCCTTTTCCTCCATCAAGGCATTAAGGGCTTATCGCTTTGGGCACTCTCTCCACCGATGTGGCCCATTGCAAAAGTAGCAACCATTGGGCTTGAATTCTCTCTTATCATGTTCTTTGATAAAGCTCTTGGACTTGTGTGCTTTGTCTTGCCCATCTTTATACCTTTTTTTTCATAAGCTTCCCTACCTTTGCCCTTGAAGTCTTTCTTAGGCTTGGAGGGTTCGCCCTTTTATTATATTCAATTAGGGATTCGGCTATGGCCACGACTTCGACGAAGGTCTTAGGCCGTTGACCTCGCACCTCTTGTTGTACCCATGATTGAAGTCCCTTAATAAAATCATACACATGATCATAGTCGGGTTTGCCACGTACCCGAAGTTTAAAAGAAAGATATTCTCGGACATACTCGTGAATAGTTCCCGTATGCTTCAATGTTCGTAGCTTGTCCCGTGCTTCCAAATTAGCTTCCTTAGGGTAAAATTGAGCATACATGACTTCTTTGAATTCATCCTAACTAGGCAACTCTAGATTTTCCTCTTTGAGCTCTTGGTGCTTCATACGCCACCATAAAGCAAGCATCCTCCGAAAGATAAAGGGTAGCGTTCTTGACACGACTTCTATCCTCGGTCAAGCCCATTACCTCGAAATATTGCTCTACTTACCAAAAGAAGTTATCCACTTTCTTGGCATCTCGCTTGCCAATATAGTGCCTTGGTCTTGGCACTTCAACTTTTGGCGTGTCCCTTAATACCACACCATTCGAGATAGCTTCTCGATAATTTGCCCAATCTTTTCTCGGTTGTTGAAGAGTTTGCTCATACCCGGTCATATACTCTTGATATTGCTCGAACCTCTCTTTTGTCCATTCTATGAAGGCATCCTTTTCGACGACTCTCTCTTTGGCACACCTCTCAACCGTTTCCACTCGAGCTTAGAGATTGGAGAGCACTTCACGTAGGCCTACCATGCCTAATGTCTCCCCTCATCATCTCCTTCTATCTTCTCGAGTCTCTCCTTGAAATCGACAAGGTGTTCCTCCGCCCTCACGAGTCGCTCCTCCAAGGAGACTAATACATCACGAGACTTCCCCCTTCCTTTCTTAGGTTGAGGAGGTAGGGTCTCATTCCTAGCATCCCCAGCAACATCCTCCATGCTTAAGCTAGACATTCTTACTCTCTTGAACACTTTAGCTAGTGGCAAGCTTACTCACATTTTGATAAGACTCGGCTAAGATACCACTTGTCATAGATTTGGCATTTCCCAAGCTCATGTGCAACACTTGGCTCTCTTCTTCTCTAAGACAAGCCAAGTCGACCTTCCTCACACAAAGTTGCTAAGCAAGAAAGACACACACAAGAGATATAAATACTCTTTGTATTGCTTTCTAAAAGCTTACAACTCTAAAGATACACTCTCTTAAGTTTATGATCTGTCTAAGTGTCTTGGCCAAGTGAAGGCCTCACCTATTTATAGCCTTCCACCTCCTCAATGGATGGCTAGGATCTATTTGATCTAATGGCTAAAATTGTTTCTCTAGAAATATCTTATCTAGATATTTACAAGGAACTATCTATATATATACATGTTAGATTAGTGAGGGACTCTCTAGATTTCTCTAGATCATCCTAGAGACTTCTTCAATGCTTCATACTCTTCTGAAGCTTCCAGCCTTATCTAGAGGCTTCTCCTTTGCTCCATACCCTTCAGAAGCTTCCGGACTTATCTAGAGGCTTCTTCATTGTTCCATACTCTTCTGAAGCTTCTAGACTTATTTAGTACTCTTTAGAATCTCTAGAAAAATCCTTCTTTTAGGCGGAGCGTAACATACATGCTAGCTAATTGCTCCCCGTAAGCATGTATCATTTCACATGCACAACTAATTTCTATAATTATCACCACATGTACAACTAATTTCTATTATTATATTCAGTATTTATTTTTTAATAAATACCAAACAATTTATCAACAACATATTTAGTATTTAATTATTCAATACTTAAAATTCATTACTTAACGATTCAATACTTAATTTTTAATTTTATAAAACACCATCTAACTATAAAAATTAGTTTTGTCCGTGAAATTATATATATTATGGGTGGAGCGATTAACTAGCATGCATGTTGCTTAAGTTTTGCTCTTGATTTTGTTGAATTGTCAATAAATGTCAAAAACTGTCACAATAATGTTGCATGTGGACTCTCTCCATAATTGCTTGAATGTGCTCAATGGGATTGAATTTTCTAATAGACTGATTGATGCCACAGACTGAGACAAGTGGTCTCTTGCGTAAAACCTGTTGCTCGGCATCTTACTATAGATTTACCTGGTGAAGTTTTTGTTGCTTGAATTTGATATAGCGAGTTTTTGTTCAGAGCTGCTTTTACAGATACCATCTTCAATTGTTAGGAAAAAAACAAAAGAAATAAAGAAAGAAAAAGACTTGCATATACTATGTTTAGAAATCCCACAAACTGTCATATTCATATACTGTCTTCAATTATTAGGACAAAAAAACAATAACAATAAAGAAAGAAAAAGACTTGCACCTGTAAGAAATCTCACAAACTATCGCATTCATATATATACTATCTTAAAAACAAAAGAAAGAAAGAAAGATATATAGAATAATAATAATTAATAATAATAATAATATTATTAAAGACCATGTTTTGCTGATCTATTAAAGACATTCGTGCTTTGTTTTTTGTTTTTTATTTTTCCTTTTTGGAGTGATTTTTTGGTAACTATTAATTGGTTAATTGACGATTTTGAGCTTCTTCATCTATTTTGATAGGTGAAACTAGAGAACCGAAATAATGAATGCGTTGCTTCAGATGACAATATGGGTTTGGTGGACTGTCATGATTTTGCCGGCGTTAGTGTGCCCATCAGTAATAGAAGAAACAAAGACACTCCGTTACAACACGGTGACCTTCAAATTTGAAGATGCTACCGAAGATAGCTACTCGGCATTTGTGAATTCTCTGCGAAATGAAGTCAAAAGCAAGGAGGTGTTTGGACTACCAGTGACAGCGAAAACAGTACCAGATTCCCAACGATATGTTTTAGTTGATCCCATATTTAAAAGAAAAAACAGAGTTGTTGACACTAACACTAGCAATATATGTCACTAATATGTATGTGGTGGGTTATCGTGATACATATAACTGGAAAGTTCGGGTGCTGATGCTTCTGACTTTGCAAAAAAAGAATCTTTTTCAAAGAAGCAAAAGAAGTTAAGAGTAACTAAATTTACAGGCGGCTATCCAGATCTTGAAAAAAAAAGCCGTTAGTAGAGAGAACATTGAATTGGGAGTTTACAAACTACAGGCAGCCATCGAGTCGGTCTATGGGAAACCCGAAGATGTGAACACTGAGGCTAGATTTTTCATTATTTCCATCCAAATGGTTTCAGAGGCAGCAAGATTCCAATACATACTGAATAAGGTACTCGAAGGAGGCATATACGGAAGTTATGAACCAGATTATAAAGCAATTTCCTTGGAGAACAGTTGGAAGAAGATCTCTGATGCCATTCAAACTGCTGATCCTTCTGGAAAATTTCGCTCAAACATTACTTTAAAGGATGCAGATAACAAACAATGGGTAGTTACGCAAGTGAGTGACATAGAGAACGACATGGGACTTTTGAAGTTCTTGGAGACCAGCAGGCCAAGCATCTCAGTTTTCTCAACTTCTGCAAACGGCATATTTCTAATATATTATTTACAACTGGAAACCTCTAACTTTTTAAATTCTGTTTAGACACCCTTTCTCTCTCTCGTAGAGGAGAGGAAGTGAGTGGAGTTTCCTCCCTTCATACAAAACACCATTACTAGCTACTGTGTTGTGATTCGACTAATAAAAACAAGGTCCAAAAGAAGACAATAGCGACGAGTGGTGCTGGATCCTAATTAAGTACCATATCAAACCTGCAAGCCCATTGAGGGGGTATATGTTGTGGGCTTTTATAAAAGCATAAAGTGAAATATAATATATATAGAAGAAATATACGGAATGAAAAAATATGTTTTACTCAAGAATTAAATTGAAACAATTAGAAATATAAGAATAGAATTACCTCATTATGTAATAATAAATTGAACTATTTACTCATTTAAACAAAAAGAATTTTATATACCTTCCCTTTTTTCTCTCTCTCTCTCTTTTGGAATGCCATGAAAATTTGGTATTTTTTCCTATAGCAGTATATATATATATATATATATAGTCTTCTAATTCTCAAGTCGGTCTGTGTCAATCAAAACTTCATTCTTAATAAGTTTAGGAGCATATTTTTCACATTGGTTTGGTATATCTAAAATTCAAACTTAGCTTTTTAAACTTGCTATAAAAGCATAAATTGTAATAATCATATTGAATTCCAAATGAAATTATATTGAAGTTCTTAGCACTCGATTTTGACCTTTATTTTTTCAAAATTTTCAAGAAAATTCAAAAATTGCAAAAAAAAATATCATTTTATTAAGTTTCTCTAATTTTTCTATTTTATAGCCCTTTATATGAGTTTGTTACGAGTTTTATGATTTTTGTGAGTGTTGAAAAATAATTAAGTATAAAAATTTGAGAAAAGAAAATGTGCGATAGAAAAATAAAAAAGAAAGAAAATAAAAAAGGAGAAAAGAAAATAGAACGAAATTCGAAAAATCAATAAGAAGGAGGGTTTAATTAAACTAAGAAAAAAATAAAAATAAAATAATATATGGATAATAAAAAAAAAGAAAAAACTAAGAAGAAAAGAGAAAAAGAAAAGGAAAAGGAAATAAAAGAAGAGAGAAAGAGATAAAGGGAATAAAAAATAGGATTAATTAAGGAGGGTTTAATTAAAAAATAGTTTAAAGTATAATGGATCAATCTGAGAATAATAGAAAGTTGAAGGCGAAATTAGAAGTAATTAAAGATCCAATCAGTGAAATTGAATGGCCAAATTGCAATAAATTAAGGGACTTGATTGAAATAAAATTGAAACATACGGGAACCAACTTAAAAACAGACTTTCCCTCTAACAACTTCTCTCCTTCCTTTCTTCTTTCTTTTCCATGCACAAAGGGGTTGTCTTCTCAGCTGAAAACCCAGACTTTTGCAGGTTCAAAAAGTCACGAAAGTTGCCCACCAAACACTCCACCATCCTTCTTTTCCATCAGCATTAAATGGTCCCCATTATAGCCTATGTTGCCTGTGATTTTGGCTACCACAAAGCATGGCCTCTCCTACAACAACCCACTTTGGTAGCCATGAATGGACAAGAGAAGAGGATTTTTGGAGATTTCAAGAAACCGGCACGATCTATAAATGAAGGATGAATGGTTGGGATAAAAAAAAAGGAGGTCTTTATGAGAAGGAGAAGAAAGTGAAGCAGAGCAAGATGGCACTGTCAAGGAGAAAGAAAGCTCAACAGTAGAAAGGGGGAGCTTTTGGAGAGAAATAGAGAAGACCAAAACTTCAGAAAAAGGAAAAAAATCATTCCAAAGTGGACCGCTCGCAAACTCGCTATTGTCAACCCTCCAACTTTGCACCTTTTTTTTTTTTTTTTTGCTACAAGAGGTACTCTTTTCAACTCATTATTCTTGCATTTTACATTCTATCTATCCATGTTCGAGGTATGAAAATTTTATATCATTTACATTTCGTTTTAAGCTTGAGAGTTAAGCTCAAAGTAGGGCTGTTGGTAACACAAAAAACTTAGAAAAAAAGTCTCTATCCAGTTTGAAATAGAGATTTTCTGAGTCGATTTTCTTCCATTTTGAGTAACTTTTGGAGTGTTTATTTATTTAAGGGTAAGGGTGTAGAGGGCCGTCCCTTCTACAGCCTAAAACCATTTTTAATGTCAGAAAGTGTCTGGAGAACTAGAGAGAGAGACCCAAAGTGAGACACCCGAAAGACTTTGAAATAAGACGGCCAAAATTTGAGCTAGTTGAGTGGCAGTTTCGTAATTTTGAATATAAATTACTTTCACCACGTGGCATCCTGTGATTGGAAAATTTTTTGGCACAAAGGGGCAGTGGTTATTCCCAATGATAGTCAGGTGTATTTTGGTCTCTTTACATGTAAGGGTAAGATGCTAATACGAAAAAAAGAAAAATTCATTAGAAATGTTAGCCTTTACTTTCGATACCTTTGAACTTGTTGATTTTTTTTCATTTATTTATTTTTGCAACTTAATTGTATGCCAACATTTTTTAAGTGTGACTGATACGCAGCAGTATATAACCCGTAAATCCGAAACTCCAGGATTCTTGGGGAAGATACAAAGTTAGTCTAAATGCTCTACAATTGGGCTGGAATGGGTTTTTGTGATTAATACCTTCAATTATTCAAAATAAACTTCAATTATTTAGAATAAGTGTCGGTCCTGATATGTCTCTTTTATATCGTGTTTGTGAATTTTTGCGTGTAATTATTGTTTTGAAGCTTATTTTGCTAAATGTGAGATCGTTGAGTCTTTTAAGTTCCAAGTAATGACGACGGTTTCATATAAAATTGAGTTTGCAATAAAAAAGAAAAAACAAGAAAATATCCCTTTTAGATAATTCATTAGGGAATGAAGTTGCTCTCGACTCTTTTCTTTCCAAAATTTGTGTTTTACCGAGGACATATGTGGGCCAGTTTTCTTCTGCATCTAATTTAATCTTTTTAATTTTATTTTATTAGTTTGTTCTTGGCATGCCAATCATTTTAGGACTTACTAGTTGAATAATTGTTATGTACATAAGGTTAACGATTTGTATGGTGTAATGCGAGTAAAAAGTTTTATTTTCTCGTGATTAATATAGATTAAATCTATATATAATTAATTTCTAACAAAACTAATTATATATAACAAATTCATAGTATATAGAATAAATATAAAAATATAAAAAAAAACTTACGAATTTTTTGATTGCATTATTATTTAAAAAAAAATTGAGCCAAACTATCTAAATCATGCTTTTATCTCTCTCTCTCTCTCTCTCTCTCTCTCTCTCTATATATATATATATATATATATATATATATAAACACTCATTTAAAAATATAATAATAATTTATTGTATAAATTATAATAATATATTTAAAAAATAAAACATTGACGTTCTAAAATATTATTCCAAAATTTATATATTAAAAAAAATTATTAACAAATAAAATTATATAAAAAATTAATTTAATGAGAATTTTAATAAGAAACAAATAATTGAAGAAATAAATTTTAAATAATAAGAATAAAAAAATCAAATATGTATGTTAACATCAATGTCACGGATATAATTAATATTGGTTAAAGGACATTAAAGGGATCAATAATAAATATGTTTTCTTTTCCGATGAAGGGATCTATTATATATGACAACATAACTTGTACAATATTTACTCGGAGATCCAATTATGCTATGACAATATGTATATTTTTTTAAGGGTTTCCTTTTACCTCTTGATGATCCAATCCTAAAACACACCATGATTTAAAATAATTAGCCAACATTTTTTTTTTTGTTCTATCATGAGATTGGTAGCCGAGACTTTTAAAAATATAAAATAAATTATAGAAAGAAAAAAAGAGCAAGGTCGCGTCTTGTTGGTGTGTGTATATGTATCGTACTTAGCAAATTCAGAGTATATAAACTAAATAAAAAATATATAAAAACCTCATTTAAATTATATGGAATATGTCAAAGTGAATAGATTTAAATAAAAACTATTATACAATTGGTTTCGATAAATTCTAATTCAAAGTATACAAACTAAATAAAAAATATAAAAAAAAAACTCACTTAAATTATATAGAATATGTCGAAGTGAATAGATTTAAATAAAAACTACTATACAATTAGTTTCGATAAATTCGATTATATATATAACCAAATAAAACTACAAATTTTTTAAACTAATTGTTAATTTTTTTAAAAAAAACCAAGTCAAATTATTTAAAACACACTTTTAGCCTTTTCTCTCTCATTAAAATATATATAACCAACAACTCCATTTTCATATAAAAATCATAAAAATAATTAATTGTATAAATTATAATAATGTATCTTAAAAAATAAAACAATCATGTTTCAAAATTTTATTTCAAAGTCATATATAAAAAAAAATTATTAACAAATTAAAAAAGTAAGGACAAACTAAATCTCAATAGCCTAACCTATTAAAAACAAGGAAAAAAAAGGGATTCTAGCTCGAAAAAAAAATAGCTACGAGTAATGGGAATATGAAGGATGCTACAACAATGGGACCGTGAAAGACCGGTTCAGCAGCCTGAGCCTTTAAGAAAGAAGAAGAAGAAAAAAAAAAAGGCAAGGCGAGAAAAGCGGGCGATGTAGCATGAACGAGTCTCACCCCTAGTTCTTTTATGATTCCTACGCTACGCTGCGGTCGGACGACCATTATATACACAAAATGAACGATTTGTATGGTATGATGTGAGTAGATGTTTTATTTTTAAAGATTAACGTAAATCAAATCTATATATTAAGCAAACTTATTTTATTTATATATATTCATTAACAAAATAATTTATAATATTAGTATAAAACATTTGTATTTGAATAATTAAGAGATCGTTTCAAAACATTAATTAAATTATTTTATTTAAAAATATAGATTTTAGAATATGAAAAAAAAGGAAAAAAAAAAAACAAAAGTGATGCTAGCCGAAAAAAAAAATAGCTACAGTAATGATACTATGAAGGGTGCTCCAACAACGGGACCGTGAAAGACCAGTTTAATAGCCCGAGCCTTTAAGGAGGGGAAAAAAAGAGGTA